AAGTCTTTAGGGTACTCACAGATGCACACAGTGCTTCGTTATCCCCCTGCCCTAATTGGAGGTACCGTAACTCAGGAAAAGAAGCAAACGTCCGTGTTTCAGGCTGCTGGCATTGTCAGCTGTGTCACTGTCCAGGCAGGATCTCTAATTAATCCAAAGCCATGTGGCACCTTCTCATGGTCTACTGGCAAGAGTTCTTTGTACCCATTTTCCAGGCAAAGTCTCTCCTGCTTTCCAGGCCACGTGGCCAAAGGGAGCACCCCAAAGTTGTGTAGTCCTCTTCTACCAAAGCAATTACCTCTGAATTGCTCTCCCCACATTAACTCTTTTTATTCCAAAACCACATGGTTCTTTCCTCCACCAGAGCTCCGGGGAAGGTGGGGTCACCACTTTGCCAAAGCCGAGTAGCAGTTCTCTGCTAAAGCCGCATGGTGGTTCCCCCTACTAAAACTGCAGGGGGCCCCACTCTGGTGACGCCTCGTGGCTCACCCTCCAATGGCTGCAATGTCTGGCTTTAAATCCCTGGCCAGTCTTCCTCTGTACCCCCATTTCTGACTCCTCCTTCGATCGGTTATACCTGCCAGCATTCTTGTATTATTCCAACTTTACCAGGCTGCCATCATGAGTCTGGGCAGGTAGGGCCCCATGTCATGGAGCCAATCTCCAAGCTCCCACGCAGGCACTGTAACTCGGGACCTGCCCCCCAGTTACATATTGTGGGGCAGTGACTTCCATCCCCATGGCTCCATGCATGGGCCACAGCTATTTAACGTATCTAAGCGACCAGCCAAAGGCTATAGGTATGTTAAATGACCATGCCATGGATTAGCTGCAAGGCTGTGGCTGTACAAAACAGCCCTGCATGTTCCTGCTCCATGTGTCCCTTCTCCCAACTCACACCTGTGGGGGAAGGGGTGAGGACATCTTATATGTCTCTCCAATATTTCCTAGACACCCTGAGTTCTGGACCCCATTCCAAATTTCTTTTGCCCTCCCCCCCCACTTGGCTGCACCCTGTATCATGCCTGAGTTTAAATCCCAGCATGAATCTTTCTCTGAAAACCCATTTCCGACTCTACCCACAATTGGCTATACCTACCTAGCAGAACTCCTATGTTTTTTCAGCCTTTGTGGGCTGCCATAGTTAGTACAGACAGGCGTGGCCCCATGGTGTGGAGTGGACCATCTCCAAGCTATCATGCAGGTGCTGTAACCAGGGGGAGGTGCCTCCCAGTTCCATTATGGGTCGAAATCACTCCTTGCTCCCTGGATTAAAGCATGGCTATAGCTACTTAACATCTATGAAGCTAGCCAGCAGTTATAGATGTAAAATAAACACTTTTGCATATCAAGTATGAAGCTGGCCAACTGTTGATATGCAAAACAACTCTCAGTGGCCCTGCTCCATGCTTCCCATCTCCCCCCACCACCCCATTCAAACTTGTGGGGGGGAGAATATCCTATATATTTCCTGGACACCCCGAGTTCTGGACCCCACTGCAAATCTCTCTTTTTGAGGGGGGATCCCTGGCTGCACCCTGTTACACTTTACTGAATAATCTTGTAAATGTTATCCAGTATCCCTTAAAAAATTGAGTAGTATTGCATAATACTCAAGTTGCTTTTAAAAGAATCAAGGTCATAATTTATCTGGCATCTTCTGTTTGGAATTCAGAACATTCCAACATAGGCCAAAATGTTTTCTGCTTCTAACTCTCAATTTCAGTTTTAACAAAAATAAGTATAAAATGAGGAAAGATAGATTTGAGTTGTCTTGGTTTATCACTACAGGGGATATCCCCCCAAACTAGAATTCAGTTTATCCTTTTGTTTGGCACACAGGGTAATTTTACCCCTGGGGAATAGATACATACAGTGAGGTTTTGTTTGGGTGAAAGGTAAGCCTTTCTTTTGAAAAAAGGATTGTTCTCAGGCAGATCACTTTTGGGAAGGGGACCCATAGAAGTTAAGGAGCTGGAAACTGGTTCCCTTAAATATATCTTCACAAATTATTGTCAGAATCCAGAACGGTGTGGCAGGGAAGGGCAGGGGGTGGGGGCCAGCATTACCAAAGTCTTACTGCTTTTATTACCCTATTATATCTCAAATTGGTTCACCCCTCTTCATTTCCATGGCTACTGTCTTGGACATGCTAGTTCTAATTCTGGGTAGAATTACCTATGAATTGCTCTCCCCACATTTACTCTTTTTATTCCTCTAACCACCCTCTTCATTTCCCCTAGTTCACAGGTGGCAAACACAAGGCTCGTGGGCCAAATCCGGCTTTCCACCTTGCTCTACTGGGCAGCAGCACGGAGCTCCTTGCTCCTCATTAAGTAGTTGCACATATACAGTCCTAAAGTTACATTAGGCCCTTCCCTTTGAAGGCAACTGTGAGGCTGATGTGGCCCCCCATGAAAATGAATGTGCCTAGTTAATGCTTGTGTTTTACCTTTAGGAGCTCAATTACTACAACTTGAGGAAGTGTTCCTGACCTGTGTTAAATACTCCTATTGTGTATTTTCATTAGGACTATGCAATTTTACATTTATCTGTGTGATTGATATTTCCCCACAGAGTAAAATTTAGGAGGGCAGGAACTGTATATCATTCTTTATTCACAATTCCTAGTGACTAGCACAATACTATCATGTAGTTAACACTCAGGAGATAATGAATGGTTTTAAATTATAAGAGGAAACTTTACAAATTGAAACCCTACATACAAATCGACATATTAAGCAGGTAACAGTAGAACTGCTCTGATTTGGAGAAGGGAGAGATGCAGGAGACATAGAATCCTGCCTGTTTGAACTTCCCACTTAATTTTCTTGCCTCACAGACTGACACACCACCAGAGAAACATCAAGTTCTCACACTTTATTCAAAGGACTGCTTTACACATCTAAAATTTGAAGACTCCCAAAGTTTTTTCACGTTTATATCTATTGGTATTTACCCTATTAGAAATGAAAATTGGTAAATTATGAAAACTACATGAATTCCTTAAAAGTGACTAATCTATTAAATATTAACATAAATAACACATTTTTAAAAGAGATTTTATTTATTTTTAGAGGGAGGGAGAAAAGGAGAGAAACATCAATGTGTGGTTGCCTCTCATGCACCCCCTACTGGGAACCTGGCCTGTAACCCAGGCAGTGCCCTGAGTGGGAATTGAACCAGCAACCCTTTGGTTCGTAGGCTAGCACTCAACCCACTGAGCCATACCAACCAGGGCTAAATAACACACATTCTAATTAAAATTACTGTAGCCCCAAATAAAAAATCTATAAGAAGATTGGTATTGCTTGACATTTTGGAAATATAAAAATCTGCATTCAATCTGTTACAATGTCAACAAGTCTCTGGGAAATTCTGCTGTACATCTGTGACAAAATGAGAGGGAATAAAACAAGTAACATTAGTTTTACCATGAAGATGTTTTGACCTCCTGGATCCCTTGAAAGGGTCTCAAAAATTGTTAGTGCATTTTGGTATTGGCCATCCTAGATCTAAAGGTCCACTGTAGCTAATAACTGCCATTCTGACTTGACTCCTGAGACCTTACTGTTGTGAAGATTATGATTATTATCAAAATACAAAGAATGTGAATTATAGGTAGAAAAATATTTTTAAAGGGTGAGAATAAAAGTGGTTTTTTATTATAAGCCCAATTGTAATAGGTAACTTAAACCTATGTATATGCCAAGTTCAAAATGATACCTCTATTATAGTGTTAGTTAGATACATTGCAACTATGTATGTGTTCATTTCTCCTCCTGGCCTGTGAGCTTGGAAGAAGACCCAATTGTCTTGATTCATTTTGCATATGTGGTCTCTAAGATAATGTCTAACACTAAATATTTGATGGAGGAATGAACTTAACTGCATAAAATGTACAACACCTACATATACTATCACACTTTCTAAAATTCACAGCAAATTATTGTATGTAGTCAACATTCATCAGCTTTTTGAAGTTCATCATCATGATCGAAGAAAACCATCATCTATGTGGTATTTTAAAGTGTCTTTATAAATTCATCACTTTCCCCATGACATATTTAAAAATACTTTTAAGTACAAGTCAGGTCGTCTGATGTAATTCTTAATTTAATGAGGGAAACCAAATGACTGCTTTATTTGCAGCTTAAATGATCTTGGGGTGGGAAAAGAGAAACAACTGCCCTCCATATTAGAAGTGGGCAGACTCCAGATGTTAATACTACCTTCTCTCGTACATGTTGCATAGTCTACTACATATCACGCAGACACCCCAGATCCTGAATTTGGAAGGAGCATCATCTCCGGAAAATATCTCTGAGGGCGTGGGTGTCCCGCTTCTCCAGAGATCAGGCGGGGCCCCTAACTGGTCCACTCACGTAAAGACTCAGCATCCTCCAGACGTAAGGCACCTCCTTCCCAGAAGCCGCGGGTGGGACGGGGTCTGACTCAATGTTAGGCCGCAAGCCCGTGGGGTGCGGCGGACCCACGGGCCTGGCGCGCGTGGGAGGGAAGTAAGTCGCCGGCCAATTCAGATCCGTAGAGTCTAGCGGGACAGACTCTAAAGGGCCAGCCTCCCGGGTGCTGGGGAGAACGGGAGTAGGGGCCAGGACCTTCCGGTCCCCTGGGGCCGCGGCCGGACCAGTATCCCCGCATCCTCTGAGTATGGCTGACCTGGAGCCTACGCGGCAGCACCTCAGCGCGGTCCCTTACCCAGGAACAGGGTATAGGGAGGGAAGTAGGGCCTAAGGGTAAGTCCAAAGTCTCTGACTGCAGCAGTTGTGACAGGCCCGGGACCCAACCCCACAGCCTAAAGCGGACCAGCTGCGCACGCAGCTCTCTTCTGCGTGTCTCGGGGCAGGGGCGGGGCCGCTGATCTGGCCAGAGTGGATTCGCCCAGGCTCGGCTAGGGGCGTGGCCTGTCCATTCGTGCTGTGCTGGCCCCGTCCCGCCCCTAGGACGCTGCTGGAAATAGGGGCGGGGCCCTGGCACAGAGCGGCGGCAGGAGCTGGGCGTAGTAAGGGGGATGAAGTCTCCTCCTTCTCCCGCCGAAGGCCTTAAATACTGGCCCGGGACTCTGGGTACGGTGAGAGGGAATCTGGAGGAGTGGTAGCTGTGGGGCACTAAGGGAGGAGCCGTCGGAGCCCTCGGAATAGGAACGGAAGCTTGGAAGTGGGTAAGCGTCTTTCCCCGGCAGGCCCGGCCGCCAGTCGGGATGCTCAGGGTCCTGGCGGTGTGTGGAGGGAGCGGAGCTGGGGTGTTCACGCTGCTCCAGGTTGCTCCTTGCGCTCATTCGCAGGCTTCCAGTCTTAACGATCCCCGTGTCTTCTTCTAGGCTCTGGCGGGAATCTGTGTTTGGGACTGCCGCCTGGGGATGGTGTACCTTGGGATTTTTATTCCAGACTCACGAGTCTTCCAGCTGCATCTTTCTGCTTTTCCTCACTTTCTGACTTGAAGCACATGAGATTTCCCCTGCTCTTCAAAAAAGCCTAACGTCCACCGAAGGAAGCGGTCCTCTGCATAGGGACCCCATTTTGGTCTCAGTCATAGTCTTTTGTTTGTGTAAAGTCTTCTCACCTGGGGGCTGCTGCTTTCCTCGCTTCATTGGCTGCCCTTCTTAAGAAACTAGTGAGAAAACAAAGCCAGAAAGCCCTTTTGATTTGAGGGCGAAATCCGAGGACATTATGTATGGCCTGTACTGGAATGCGTTGTTGGCCAACACACCATATAATTGCTTTATTTCACCTCAGGGAAGGCGTTTTTTGGGTGCTTTTTAGGAGATCCTGTGTGTATGAGATCTCGATAAATGATACCTCTTACATAGGAAGATAATTGAGTAGTGTTGAGAATACTATATAGAATATATATAGAAAAGAGGGATTCACTGGTAGGGAGCTTTTTATGGTTACACAGAGGAATGGCTGTCCATTGACTGCCCTCGAAGACACAGTGAGTCTTTGAGTTTCTTCAAATTCCGTAAGAAATAGAGAACAGTAGTCTGGTCTGTTTCTTCAGGGGGGTCCTGGAAATGAAAGAGATTACTGTCTGCTCTGAGTTGTGCTTGTTAGCACCCAGCATCTAGTTCAAGGTAAGTGGTAGACAACCCTGATTGAAAGGATCACATTTCCCTTCCCGTTGCTGCACGTCTTCCTCTAACATAAGATCTTCCTATAACTATAGGAGCATATTCCATCCTTCCTCTTGCTATTTCCACAGCTTTGTATGATACCCTTTAGACACAATGTTAACATTCTGTCACAGACTAAGTATTTTTGGGGGGTTAGGCATCTGTTAGTATGTAATTTTTGAAAATGACTAAGATGGTTTGTGAAATTGATATATCCAGCTATAGTTAATCCTTTGCTTTAGCTACTGCAGAGTGTACTGATGGAGGATGGAAGTGAAGGAATTATATTTAGTTTAGATTGCAGTTACCCACATAGTCTAGGTAGAAATTTTGGTCTCAATTTATAAACTCTTAAATGAAGAGTAGTTTTGGAATGGCCTGGTTTGTTGTGACTTTCCTAAAATGTGGAGGTAAAAACTCATTTTAAACTGACTTAGAAAGCAAACATCCCCATTTCCCTAACAGCACAGTACAGAGCATCAGAGGGTACATAAAAATAGAATAGAATGTGGAATTACAAAGTCATAAGCATGTAATTCTGTAAAATAAACACTATTACACTTAAGCACATCATATGACATTTTGGGTGAAATGTTCAAATTAAACTATAAATTATTACACTCATATTATTACCCTAGCAGCCACATTCAAGCAGGCATTACTTTTGCTGGATCCTGTATGTAGGTTCTACAGTACAGGTTCACCTGCTATCAACAATTTGCTCAGCTGTTATTTGTAAGGCAAGCTGAATACAGCCTGGCTATCAGGTGGATAAGAAGTAACTGGAAACACATGCCAAAGTTCTACCTAGAGAAGACGATAGGATTCTGGGCAATCTGTGCAAAAATACTATGATCAGCCATCTGAGCTAAAGATCGAATAGTCTTCCTTTAAAAAACATAGAGGGATTATAAGCCTTCTGGCCAAGTTGGAGGAGTAGGTAGATATACTTTGCCCCCTCCCACAACAAAAAGGGCAACAACAAATTTAAAAAAACCAACCAGAGCTGCCAGAAAATTGAATTTGATGGAAGTCTGACAACCAAGGAGTTAAAAAAAAAAACAACATTCATTCAGACTGGAAGGAAGGATGGAGACAGGCAATGGGGCAGAGAGGATGCGCAGCAAGGCTGGGGCTGGTGGACTGGGTGGGTGAGGTGGAGGCTGGTAGACAGGCTGTAAAAACCTTTAGGGATAGTGGTGGCAGAAGAAACTCCCAGCCTCACAGGAGAGTTTGCTGGAGAAAGCCACAGGGTTCTAGAACATACACAAGCCCACCCCCTGTGGAATCAGCACCAGAAGTGGCCAATTTGCTTGTGGGTGGCAAGGGGAGTGACTGAAAGCCCAGAGCTGAGCAAGTGGCAATGTTTACTTTTGGACCTCTCCCCAGCATACAGCGCCAAAATGCAGCCCGAGGTGGGTTGCCCCACCCTGGTGAATACCTAAGGCTCCATGCCTTACTATGTAACAGGCCTACTGAGACTAAAAATAAAGAAAAGTGGTCCAAATGAAAGAATAGATCAAAGCTCCAATAATAGTACTAAGCGATGGAGAGCCAACCTATCAGATGCAGAGTTCAAAATACTGGTAATCAGGATGCTCACAGAAATGGTTGAGTATGGTCACAAAATAGAGGAAGACGTTAGGTTGTGCAGAGTGATAAAGGAAAATGTACAGGCAACCAACAGTGAAGGGAAGGAAACTGGGACTGAAATCAATGATTTGGACCAGAAAGAAGAAATAAACATTCAACCAGAACAGAATGAAGAAAGAAGAATTTAAAAAAAAATGAGAGGCTTAGGACATCTGGGACAACTTCAAAGGTTCCAACATCTGAGTCATAGGGGTGCCAGAAGGAGAAGAGGAAGAGCAAGAAATTGAAAAATTATTTGAACAAAAATAATGAAGGAGAATGTCCCCAATCTGATGAAGGAAATAGACTTCCAGGAAGTCCAGGAACCTCAGAGAGTCCCAAAGAAGTTGGACCCAAGGGAGCACACACCAAGGCACATCATAATTACATTATACGAGATGAAGATGAAAGACAAGGAGAAAATCTTAAAAGCAGCAAGAGAAAAGAAGACAATTGCCTACAAAGGAGTTCCCGTAAGACTGTCAGCTGATTTCTCAAAAGAAATCTTGCAGGCAAGAAGAGGATAGAAAGAAGTATTTGAAATCATGAAAGTCAAGGACCTACCTCCAAGATTACACTATCCAGCAAAGTTATCATTTAGAATGGAAGGGCAGATAAAGTGCTTCCCAGATAAGGTTAAGTTAAAGGAGTTCATCATCACCAAGCCTTTATTATATGAAATGTTAAAGGGACTTAGCTAAGAAAAAGAAGGAAATAAAAAATATGAACAGTAAAATGACAAAGTCACAACTATCAACAACCAAACCTAAGAAAACAAAAATGATCTAAGAAACAACTAGAGCAGGAACAGATTCACAGAAATGGAGATCACATGGAGAGTTATCAGTGGCGAGGGGAAGAATGGGGGAAAAGGTACAGGGAGTAAGAAACATAAATGATAGGTACAAAATAGACAGGGGGAGGTTAAGAAATATATGGGAAATGGAGAAGTCAGAACTTCTATGTATGGTCCATGGACATGAGCTAAGGGTGGATGAAATGATGGTGGGAGGGGTGGTGCAGGGAAGGGGTAATAAAGGGGAGGACAAAATGGGACAACTGTAATACCATAATCAATAAAATATATTTAAAAATAAAAATGAAAAGATAGGCCCTTATGGAAAGTTTCTCATTCATTCAATTAATATATTTGAGAGCCTGGCGTTCTAGGTGTTGAGGTGAACAGAAGCAGATAAGGACTGTTAGCCTGGGAGCACCATATTAAACTACGAACTTCTTGAGCCCAAGTTGCCTCGTGTACACATTCATTCCATTTTTTAAAAATTATTATTTTTTACTTTTAATTACCATTTATTTAATGCTGAATTTACTCCCTGACTGTAAGTTTTTGTTTCTTCACTTTCTGCTGGGATATCTTTTTTTCTGTGCACCCTCCTCTTCTGGTTTAGGAACAATCTGCTCTTTTTCAATAAGGAGCATCACAGTGAGGCAGGGAGAGCTCAGTGCGGGTTAGTCCGCCCATGAGCTCCGTTAGTTCTGCACCATGTCTTGGGAGCGTTGTTCACCCGGATGTGTTCAATGACCAAAGTATCAACATCTAAACCCTTAAGTTCAGCATTACTCTCTGCATTTTTAAGCATGTGCAGCAAGGATTCAGCACTCTTTTTGGGCAACTGACCCTGTGTGCAGCCCCACTGTTTGGCCTGGGTACACCTACCAGCTCCACAATTGTAACAACAGACTGGCACACATTGCTTCTGTAAGTGACATCCTCAGATACTTGGTGACTTTTTTGATATGCATACCCTTATGGCCTGGGCAGTTTCACATGTGTTCTTGAAGTGAACATGAAGATTTGAACTTCTTGATTTGCATAATTTTATGGAGTGTTCTGGGTCAAGTGAATAGTGAACCATTTTCAGAGGTCACAGTTAACTTGCAGGAAGAGCTTAATCCATGTTTATTATAAGAATGTTAGGGGACTTCCGCCAAGATGGAGAAGTAGGTGGAGGGTCCACCTCGCCTCTGTGCACAACCAAATCTAAGAACAACTATTTTTAACAGCAGTCACAACCAAGCCACACGGAAAATCGACAATACGGAGTCCAAAGGACAACTAGATACTCGGCTGGACCGGTACGAGGAGCCAGGCCAGCAGCGGAGCAGGTTAGCAAGAAAAAATTCCCGGGCGGTGCGCGGTTTTGCGCAGGGAACCGAGGGCACGATTGCGAGCGAGCTGGCTGCCGGAGCGCACAAAGAAGGGGCGCGGTGGGTCGCTCAGTCGCGCGCATTTACGTGCGGAGAAGCCAGTGAGAAGGGAAGCCAGCGCAATACCGATCGGATAAACCCCATGCGTGCGGAGTGACTGGAAACGCTGGGCTAGCGGAGGGGACCGCCATTGCTCCCCTCTCTGACCCCGCCCCCACACACAGCGTCACAAACCAGCGACCTGGGTCGCCCCGTCCTGGTAAACAACTAAGCTTCGCTCCGCTCACTTAACAGGCGCGAACAGACCAAAAATGGCTCTAGGACAACTCAGAGCCCCAGAACCGATAGATCTAAGCGATGAAGAAATAGCCAGTCTTTCAGATGCACAGTTCAAAACACTGGTTATAAAGATCCTTACAGAACTGGTTGACTTTAGCCACAAATTAGAGAAACATATGGAAGCTAAATTAATTGAAATGAATGGGGATACAAAAGATTCCAATAGTAATGGGAAAGAAAATTGGGACTCAAATCAAGGGGAGAGAACCAGAAAGAAGAAAAAAAATGGTCAAACAGAAAGGAATGAAGAAATAAGAATTCAGAAAAATGAGGAGAAGATTAGGAACCTCCAGGACATCTTTAAACGTTCCAACATCCGAATTATGGGGTACCAGAAGGGGGGAAAGGCACAACCACCAGTTGAAAACTTATTTGAACAAATAATAAAGGAGAATTTCCCCAAGATGGCAAAGGAAATAGACTTCTGAGAAAATCCAGGAAGCTCAGAGAGTCCCAAAGAAGTTGGACTCAAGAAGGAACACACCAAGGCACATCATAATTACATTAGCCAAGATTAAAATGAAGGAGAGAATCTTAGAAGCAGCAAGAGCTAAGGGGACAGTCACCTACAAAGGAGTTCCCATCAGACTGTCAGCTGATTTCTCAAAAGAGACCTTACAGGCAAGAAGGGGCTGGAAAGAGGTATTCCAAGTTATGAAATCCAAAGACCTACATCCAAGATTGCTCTATCCAGCAAAACTTTCATTTAGAATGGAAGGACAGATAAAGTGCTTCTCAGATAAGACCAAATTCAAGGAGTTCATCATCACCAAACCCTTATTATATGAAATGTTAAAGGGACTTACCTAAGAAAAAGAAGATAAAAAAGACGAACAGTGAAAGGACAGCAAACTCACAGTTATTAAGAACCACACCTAAAACAAAAGCAAACTAAGAGGATAGCTAGATCAGGAGCAGAACCATAGAAATGAAGATCTCAGGGAGGGGGTTAGCAATAGGGGGAGTGGGAGGAAGGGGGAGAAGGTACAGAAAATAAGTAGCATAGATAGTAGATAGAAAATACATAGGGGGAGGGTAAGAATAGTAGGGGGAAATACAGAATCTAAAGAAATTGAGACACATGTTCATGAACTAAAGGGGGAAATGGTGGGGGAGGGGTATGCAGGGTGGAGGGGAAGGGAGGGGGGAATAGAGCAAATGTAATGGCATAATCAATAAAAAAATTATATTAAAAAAAAAGAATGTTAGCATGCGGGGGGTGGGGCTGGGATGGGAGAAATAGACAAAAAAACTGTACTTGAAAAATAACTAAATAAAATTTTTTTAAAAACTCAAAAAAAAAAAAAAGAATGTTAGCAGAATCTGCTGTTTTGTTTGAGATTGAGGGCACAGACTGCCTTATTAACCTCTTAGGTGTGTGGTAACCTCCCCAAATCCTCTGGTCCAAAAATGCTTTGAGATTTCACTTTTTAGGTATTCTGGATTTATTAGCTTTAATTAGAGAAATTGGCGAGCTGTCCAGTAAGGGTATTATAGTCTAGTAGTTCTTCAGATTCATTATAGTTTAGGACTTGATCTTCAGCCTTACACGTCTTGAAAGTAGGTTTCTTCTCCCCCATGAGCCCATAATTAATGAGGCTTTAGATGTTAACTTTGGTAAGTAAGCTCATAAGAGACTGATGAATACAGTAGAATGGAATTTTGCTATTACAGTGGAGACATTTTCCAGTATTTGGAATACTTTTAATTAAATCAAAAATCAACCTTCCAGATCAGCCTTCTCTAATCTATGTAGGAATATGCTAACAAATTCTTAATTTCTTTTTTACCATTTTCTTAATTTCTTGATTACCATTTTCCTTTTCTTTGGAATCCTTGAATTACATGATGTCTAAGGTCTTGGCAGAGACCTTAGACATCTAAGAATTTGACCACTTCAACAGTTTTTGTTCTCATTATAATGAATAAATTGACATTTTTATGTATAAATCAGTCCTTTGTAATTTTGATTAGTGTGAATTAGTTTACCTAATGGTATTTGAAAACCTATCAAAATCTGTGTAATAGCTTTGGTAATGATAGAAATTACTTTCTTCTAACCATCTCATGGTTTCTGATTAAATTTGAAGTTGAGTTTAAGAACATTGTCAATTGCCTAAAAGTAAACTGCTGAAGCCAAATTAGGTAGGGAATATAATCTAGGAGGTCAATTCTGGACTATAGAAGTAATCTTAATATCTGCTGTGTTAGTCTAAACCTCTTTCAAGGCTGACCTTTGTACACCAGCATTTATTTAAGCAAGAATTGCACTGGTATTTCACCCTTGAACTTTCTCTCAGCAATCAAAGTTGTCCTAGTGTATTAGAGGTGTAAGTAAGGTTTTATTTTTCTTCTTGACGTTCTAAATATTGGGTTATTATAATCTTTGTGGTTCTTCTCCAGTAACAGCTGTTATTGTAATTTTTTCCATATGCTTCATATTAGTGCATCCAAGAACAGGTTTGGTCATCCAAATGGAATGGTTTTTTTTTAACCACTATTTTCATAATTCTTAATGAATGTGAATCTTAATGAGTAGGAAATCTTTCCAAACATGCCACCTTGACAGTTCTTAAAAAGTGTGATGGAAGAGCAATGTGATTTTAAATTTTCTGTTGTCAATAGAACAGTCTTACTGTTTCCCTTCTAGTACAATCATGTTCAAAATTAAGAAGATCTGTTGTATCGGTGCGGGCTATGTTGGAGGACCCACGTGTAGTGTCATAGCTCAGATGTGCCCCGAGATCAGGGTGACGGTTGTTGATGTCAATGAATCAAGAATCAATGCGTGGAACTCTCCTTCGCTTCCTATATATGAGGTAAACCACACTTTGTTCTTATGCTCTTTGTTTTCTTACTCTTTTTGTGAATTAATTTACTATTCTAAAAATCTATGACTGCAACGGATAAGGAATTAAATGAAAAAATTTAGATACACAGTGTTATGGACATTATAATTACAATGATGTCAAGTATGACCAGGGAAAATGACTAGAAAGAAGTATGTTAGAATATTATTAATGGTTGTATTAGTGCAGTGAGATTATGGGTAATTTTTTCTCTTCTCTTTAAATTCTGTCAGTTAGTATGGTTACCATGTTATAACAGTAAAATTAAAAAGTGGTATTCTGTAAAAATAAAATTGTGGTTGTTTATAATATTAAGATATGTAAGCCTGTTATATTTTTTGAATTATTGTACTTACATCAGGTAAACCTAGGATGGATAAAAGGCTACTTTCATATTTAGTGTTTAGTAACACAAATTTGTTTAATTAGAATTTCAAAATTTCTGTGAATTTAGGGAGTGCATAGTTAGGAAAATACTCTTGTACCTATTTTATTAAGCTTAGTTCTATTTTTTTATTATTTCACTGTAAAATGCATTCATGATACTATGCTTTTGAAGCCTAAAAAAGAAACATTTAAAAATGTTATGGTATTTTCTATTATATATACAAGGTCTATATATATTAGCCCTGGCTGGCATAGCTCAGTGGATTGAACGTGGGCCTGTCAACCAAAGGGCTGCTGGTTTGATTCCCAGTCAGGGCACATGCCTGGGTTGTGGGCCAGGTCCCCAATGTGGGTGTGCAAAAGGCAACCAATACATATCGATATTGCTCTCCCTCTCTTTCTTTTTCCCTTCTTGTTCCTCTGAAAATAAATAAATAAAATCTTTTAAAAAAATATGGGTATCCTGAACTAGAAAAAAAGTATATATTATCTGTAATATATCAGAATTAGACATTTTATTTTGGAAAAAAGAAAAAATCAGTTGTCTGGGCATGTCCCCTGGCCAGGTTTTTAATCAATCAGATTCTTTTTATTGGTATTACTATTTCCATTATTTTCATATCTGAAATTCTTCTTCCTAAGACTTCAGTGCTTTACATTTAAAACAGTGTGTTGTGGTAGATCCAGGATTGTGGTAGAGCAGGTAGAAGCTACACAGACCTTTTCCCAGGTTCAAAGTACAGTGAATTACAACTAAATTATAGAACAACCAACTGAAGACCAGCTGAACGTGAGTCTTATGACAAATTATTTACAGAGGAAGCTACATGAAGATTGGTGGGAAGGGTAAAGATGTGAAAAGGGCTGGCCCTACACTCACATGTGGTGGTTGAGAATCTGGGGGGAAAGCTCACCAGCAGAGTTCCCCCAGAGGGGCAAAGGGTCTGAACTCCACTCTGGACTTCCCAGCCCAGAGCACCAGAGCCAGGAGGAGGAGCCCAAATAACATCTGGCTGTGAAAATTGATGGAAATTCCATCAACCAGAGAGAGATGAGAGTCTGCTAGAAACCCAGGCACCCTCTTACAGGGTTAGCAAACAAAATCTCATTAGCAGTCACTCATCCTGGGCTATGGCGTAGGGAAGGCAGCTCAGAATAGGTTGGAGTCATACAGGGAGAGACTGGGTTGTGTAGTTTCAGGGAGGGGGCTAAAGGGACAGTCTTCAGGGTCCCTGTTCTGGTCCCTTTTCTCACACTGCCCATAGATGCCATTTTTCTTGGGTTGAGCTGATGTGGACCCCGGCTTGTGGGGTCCGACACATTGTGAATGAGGCACGAGAAATTCACACGGACTACTGAGTCCTATGGAGGAAAAGAGATGACATAGCTTTCCTCTCAAGGGGAGAAAAAGCCACGTCCTCCACCGTGACAGGCCTTTATTTCTTTTTCCTGGGCACATTACATGATGGCCCTCATTTACTATGCATAGGTTCACTTTAGGTGGTTACCTTTTACACAAAACAAAGAAGCCAATGCTGCTAATCACATCACATAAGAAGGATATTTGCAAATGAAAAGGGAAAAGTGGTTGAACCGGTTACACTAATCCTTGGTAGGTTTAGCATGGATTTTAGGAAGTTACTTTTGCCTCAATTCAGGATGAGGGAGTTTTAGCAAAAGCAAGTCTCAAAGCAGCCTAAATACATTGCAGGCCTTATTCCCCACAGGAGAACCTATCCGTGGGTGTGGGTCCTGTGCATTGGACCTTGCTTTCCACTGGGAGCTAGGCCCACACCACACAGAATGGTTTCCTACATTGAACATTCACCTCCATATAGCATCTGCCTGGGGGAAAACATTAGCCCCACCCTCCTAATTCACTGTGGTCTTGCTCTTTTAAGCTCAGGGCCTTGTGGAGGAGTTGGCTGTCTGTGGTCAGCCTGGGCCTGCAGTGCAGACTTTCTTAAGGGAAGCTCTCAAGGAGGTCAGGGTGAACTTGGGGAGTGGCAGAGACTGAGTTTTGTGACTCTTAAGACAAGGGACATTTCGCCCCCACATTCTTGACCTGCACCACTGTTCTTGTGTAGAGTCCTTCCTTCCATACAGCAAAATCTTGGACTGTTTTAGCCTGATGAATTCTGCCAGCCTCACCCTAACAACTCCCCAAGACCCTTCCCCACCACAAAGGTATGCAGGCCCCAAGTGGGTGGTGGCTGGCCTAAGTGTACACAGAGACTTTTGCTGAGTGTCCTCAGACCCAGCATGGTGCCCAGTTTGAATCTGTATCAACCCTTGAACACTACTCACCCCTACCTGGTGACTCATTAATAACTTATCTCATGCAACTGGACTACCACCGGAGGTTCTTTTAGTGACTCATTCTAACAGCCAGCAGTAGAGGGGGATCTTGGGGTGCCTTGGGCCTTTTGCTGATCTGTCCCCAGGTTCAGTGCTGCAGGTCCCAAGTGGGTGGTGAAAGCTGGCCTTGGTACTCAACTTGGCCCCTCCCACACATACTAAAGTCCAACAGAGGCAGTTTGGGTTGCTTCGTAGCTCTAAACAAGTAACCCAGGGCCAGTTACAAGGAGTAGCTGGCATTGATCTGTACTAGAACCCCTCCCCAGAGGTCCCAGAACAAACATACCAGGTAATGGGCATTAGGCCACATCAGAGCATAACCCAGTTAGCTCCCGGGCATAGCCAAAGGGAGATCTCATCAGGCACCAGACCCTGTTGGGGCAAATTCTCCTTTGTGGGGTCAGCCCCTGCATAACTGTTTGTACACTTTTGCTGAGTGGTCAGGGTTAATCCTCATAGTCAGCCAGCCTGAGGATCAACCCCTCCCACAGACGGGACAACAGCAATCAAAACTCAATTATAGTAGGGAGTGCTTACATAACTTACCCAAGGGACATTCTTGGAGCACGTAGTTCAGGTGATCAGGGAGACTGTACCACTGAGACCTATAGGACACCTACTACATAAACCACTGTACCTAGACTGGGAGACATTGCAGAACTACATAATACACAGAAACAAATACAAAGAACCGGCCAAAATGGGGAGACAAAGATAAATGCATCAAATGAAAGAACAGGAGGCATTTCCAGAAAAAGAACTAAGTGAAATGGAGGCAGACAATCTACCAGATACAGAGTTCAAAACAATGTTATGCTCGAGGAACTTAGGGGAAGAGTGAGTGGACACAGTGAGAACTTATAAAAAGAGACAGTTAGCATTAAAAACCACATAAAATCATAAAAAATCCAATCAGAAATGAAGAGTATAATAACTAAAATGAAGAATACACTAGAGGAATTAACAGTAGATTAGATGAAGCAGAGGATCAAAACAGTGATTTGGAAGACAAGGTAGCAGTAAACACCCATACAGCTGCAAAAATAAAAAAGAATTTTAGAAATGGGGATAGCCCTGGCTGGTGTGGCCCAGTGGATTGAGCACTGGCCCGTAGCCTGGAAGGTCATAGGTTCAATTCCTGGTCAGGGCAATGCCTGGGTGGTAGGCCAGGTTCCCCTGCTGGGGGAATGTGAGAGGCAACCAATGTATCTCTTATACATTGATGTTTGTCTACCAGAAATAAATTTTAAAAAATTAGGGGGGAGAGGAATGTAAGGGGACTAAATGGTAATGGGAAAAAATATACTGAAGATAAAAAAGTCGGAAAACAAATTTTTAAAAAATGGGGTTAGAAACATCAATGTGTGGTTGCCTCTCGTGTCCTCTACTGGGGACCTGGCCTGCAACCCAGGCATGTGCCCTGACCGGGAATCGAACCAGTGACCCTGTGCTTCACAGGCCCATGCTCAATCCACTGAGCTACTGAATCAGTGGAATCACTGAGCTACACCAGCCAGGGCATGTTATAATTCTTTTTTTTAATGTTTTTTTAATAAATAAAATAAATATTTTATTTATTTATCTTTAGAGGGGAAGGAAAGGAGAGAAGGAGAGAAATATCAGTGTATGGTTGCCTCTCTTGTGTCCCGTGCTGGGAACTGGCCTGCAACCCAGGCATGTGCCCTGATTGGGAATCAACCACAATCATTTGGTTCGCAGGCCAGCGCTCAATCCACTGAGCTACACCAGCCAGGGCAGGAATTGGCATGAAATATTCAAAATGATCAAAAGCAAGGGACTACAACCAAGACTACTATACCCAGCAAGGCTTTCATTAAAGAAAAGAGAGAGAGAGAAATAAAGATCTTCACTGATAAGAAAAAGCTAAAGGAATTTATTGCCACCAAATCAATATTACAAGAAATGTTAAAGGGACTTGTTAAAAAAAAAAACAAACCTTTTAAAGACTATTTATATACTTTTAGAGAAAGGGGAAGGGAAGGAGAAAAAGGGAGAGAAAGAATCATCAATATACAAGAGATAGATTGGTTGCCTCTTGCACACCCCAAACTGGCTACCTGGCCTGCAATCCAATAATGTGCCCTCAGTGGGAAGAACTGGTGACCTTTTTGTTCGCAGGTCGGCACTCAAAACACCTGAGCCACAGCAGCCAGAGCTAAAGGGACTTATTTAAGAACAAGAAAGAAAATACTTATAAAGAATAT